GTGGAACTCCAGATGTTGCTGTGATGGGTGAAGATGAAAATCCGTTGTAAAAGACATAATTAAAACGATGATTTAGGTAAGATGAAAATAATCTCAACAGCGACTGATCAAACCGTAAGCTTTCCAACTTCCTTACAAGAATATTATGATTTTTACAAAATACATTATGGGCAGGTTGTACAAAAAATATTCTAAACATATTTTAACTAACAAGAGTTTTATTTTTAACTAGTTATATTCAACAACAAGGTTTACAGTTTAAACTAAGTCTACATTTTAACTGCCTATGTACAAACCCGCCATATGTACAATTAAAAATTAATTGTATTTCTTTAAAATGAACTTGATTCTGTTGATCAAAACCATTCGATAAAAAAATTAAAAAGTATTGGTATAAAGGTGATTTTTATATCTATGCTATAAAGCATGCATTGGGGTAGCATGTAGATTATCTAAGTATTAGATCAGAGAGATTAAAATTAAATAACAGATGTAGTGGGATTCTCATCTTTCAGTACGTCTCCTATCGAGACTCCTATCTTTGTTCGACAGACAGCGATTTTAATGTACTGTCTCTCTCTATTCTGTATGTAATGTGTCGAGTTCGCACAAAAGAATCGCTGTTCTGATCAGAAGAAATTAACCACATCAAAGGAAGAAAATTAGGTCCCTTGTTATTTTTAATTTATATTAATGATTGTTGATGTCGCAATAATCAATATGACATTTACCTGTTTGCCTATGATGTCCTTATCTATGTTTCTTGTGAGTTGTAAGGATTCAGATAACTTAGTAAGAGTTAATTGTCAATGAAACTCTGCAAAATGTTTATAAATGATGTTGAAATCATTTGTTAAAAATCAACACAAATACCTAAAACAAAATATAAGCTGATAAGTAATAACTATATGTAGTTTGTGGACAAACAATATAGGAAATTGAAAGAAAATCTATACAGTTAGTAGAAAAATTCAAATATTTAAGGGTAATTATTCGGAAACAGATGAAATTCACAGACCATATGCAAATACTGTTATCAAAACAATTGCAGTTAAATTACATTTCCTATTTAGAATGTTATTAAAATAATTGTTATATTATTACATTATTTTTTTACTAAATTTGAATATTGTGATATTAGCAAACTAGCCAAATAAAGAAAATAAAAAAATAAAAACCAAAAACATACCTGGATCTACAATAATATAATATATAAATAATATAAGTACATTGCATCTTTTAAATTATTAAAGTCCATTAAATTGAAATGACACGTCAAACCATAAACGTCAAACTTTCAAAACAAACATGCTTGTGTTGTGTTCCAAACAGAAAATACCATTTATAGAATAATTTATTTACTTGCAACCTTTCCCCGCACACCACCTAGCCCCTCAGCCAGAAACATGGTCAAATTGGGCTAAGCCATTTTACATTCGTCTGCATAGGGAGCGATGTTGCAATTTTTCAATTTTAGTGTCTATTCCGTCTGTTCAGATGGCAGCATCTTATGGGCCCTACATTTTTAAATCTTATCACAAGAATCCTGAAATAATTAGGCAAAAATAAAAGAATATATTTTGCGTTTTAACTTTTAAATACTATAAAAAATGATGGAAAGTCCATAACTTTTAAATATCACTTATTAAAATATTATGCATTAAAAGTAAAACAAACCATAGACTTTCCATGATTCTTTACAGTTTTTTGAACCCATTTATGAAAACAGTTTTTGAAAATATTATCGTTCAGAGCTGTATTTCTTGTGATAAAAAAGTCGCCGTCACTTGTCATTGAACTTGGCATTAAACATTAAAAAAGCATGGTCGATCCTATTCACCACAATGGCAGGTGAATAGGATCAGCAAACAAAAAAATATATATGCGGGTAAAGAATCGCTGAAAAAAATTTTTGAATCAAAAATGATTAGAGCAGATATAAACTCATATTTTGATATATACAGGATATATCTCATTATATCACTCTGAGAGATACGCTATTTTAAAATTGATCCTATTCACCCCATTCTACGGTACTGTTTAATGATTTAAAATATTAGGAAGTCAATTAATAGCTATTTATGTAACCAGTTACAAAATGCCTTATTTTGTGTAACAAGTAAATATTTGAAATGCAAAATACGAGTTACACAAAACGGCCTTTCGTAACGTGTTAACATACAAGATTTTTTATAATTTTGACTTGATTATTTATAAAATTGTGTTGAAAAATGATTCACCATCATTTTTTTGTAGGTACTTCCAATCAAATATTTCAGAAAATTGTTTTTTTTTAATAGTAATAATAAAAATAAGGGACATGTGCCGATCTGATTTTTGACATTACCCGCGGGAATTTGAAAAAAAAAAACGTTTTTACCCATTATCTTTAAAGGAGTACGTCAAAATTTTACCCCCAACATTTCTGGGCAGTTTTTAATAACGGTGTTCAATTATTTAAAAAATAATAATGCAAATTACAGCTTTTCTTTTTTTATTTTATGTTTTGTTGTTAAACGTAATGTCATATTTTCAAATGTGAAATGTCACTATTCATTGCCTTTTTTTAGATTTTTGGTTTTTTCGATTTTTTGTTTTTTGGATTTTTCGATTTTTTGATTACTCTATTTTTCGATTTCTCGATTTTTCGATTTCTCAATTTTTCGATTTCTCAATTTTTCGATTTTTCGACTAAAAAACCAAAAAAGAGGCAGTTTTATTTATTTTCATTTCGTAACTGGTGACATAATCAACTTTTCGTAAACAGTTGCATAATGTTCTACTTTATGCAACTGGTTGCATAAAGTAGATCGTTTTGACACTTGCTGCGATTACAAAATAAATTACTTTATATGTCAAAATTAGAGAAAATAACAAAATGTTAATTAAATGGATAGATCCCATCCCATATTATTATAGAGCAGTGTTTCTCAAACTTTTTGGCGACGGAACCTTTTTGGAAAGCGAAATATTTACGGAGCCCTAAACACATAAAACACATAATTTAAAAAATATTTTTCAAATTTTTCTTCATTTTGAATCTCATTTTGACTTTCAATAGATAAACGTGATAAAAAATCGGCTTTATATTATGCTCCGATTTCACATATTCAATTTTATAATTGTAATTTGACAATATTACTGCCCATCTACGTATAGTCTGTTGGCTGAAAATTGGGGTATACCTTTAGCTGGGTTAAAAATAGTTACCAGAGGTAAGTGATCTGTAACTAGGATAAAGAAATGTTCATTAAATTTATTTAAGCCAAAAATTATTACAAAGTCCTCTTTTTCAATTTGGGAATATTTTTGTTCGGACTTTGATAAAGTACGCGAAGCAGAAGCTTATAGGTTTCTCAATATTTTTTTTCAAAAACATGACATATCATGGCCCTTATTCTCACAATTGATGCATCTACGATTAATTTATTCAGCAACTCAGGCTGAAAATGCATAAGAACATCATTTGTTGTTAATTTATTTTTGATTAATTCCAAAGATTCCTTTCAAGAATTATCCCAAATCCATTTCACCGATAAAAATAAAATAAAAAAAAAGTCCTCAAGCAAAATCATATCCTCCTTCCTCTTAGTGACTTAAAAAAATTACTTCTCAAAAAAAGGTCCTCTAACCAGGTCCCTCCATTTGGTGGCGATAGTACTGTTTTTTTTTATTACGATTATTTTCTTCGCGGAGCCCTCACAAACAGTGTTGTTCCTAAGGATTTTGGAATCGTACAACTTTCAATGTCAAAATTGTACACTTTTACCTAACTTACTCTTTGCTTTTACGTTCGATTGTACAACCACTAATTAATCTTCTTTTCTCTGCTAGCCTACAACCTACCACTTCCCAAAGCATAAAATTCTTCTTTTTTTATTGGATAAAAGTCCAATCATTTTCAAAATGATTTCGATTGGTCGCGAATGTCGCCAAATTTAAACTTTAATTTTTTTATTAACTTTAGTACATACGATATAACGAATTGTATACTTCAAATTGTACAATATTTTCGCCTTTTTTCAAAAATGCGTGCAACAGTACAGCCACAATAAGTGATTGTACAACAAGAACAACCAAGAACAACACTGCTCACAAAAGGCTTTGCGGAGCTCCAGGGCTCCGCGGAGCACACTTTGAGTAAAACTGTTATAGAGAAATAATAAATAAAAAGTTTTGAAAAAACTAATGAAACCAGTTGTGAAGTTTGAAACGAATAAATTTGCAATGGAATTGATATTTTTGTATTTGATTGTATGTTACTCTTTCCACTGCCTGAAAAAAGATTCCCCATGAAACAAGAAATAGTAAACAGTTTATAATAATAACCTTTATTTGCTACTTATAACATGTACCAATGACCAAGTCCGATTCTGTTTATTTTTAAATCAACAAATATGGCCGTCGACAGAATCTTAATTAAATAACTCACCGAAATAAATGTAAGTTTCTTTTATCTCCGTCACATTTCGCACTTTTATTATAAATAAAGCTTTTTACAACACATCTTGGCATTTTCAACGTTAATTTCCAAAATTAAAATTAATTCTCGATGACACATTAAATTTGGATGGCATGTGATGTTCTCAACTGTGATTGGTGGGTGTGAATAATTTCGAAGTGGGATTATGCGCAGTGTCTTATGTTCCATCTAAGGTTTGTATAATCTAAGTTGTAAACATATATCTATCTCTATCGCACTACGAAACTAGCCCGGCTCATAATATTATCACAACAACGGACTACCAATCTTATTTTTTTTTTTTTGTAGATAAACTAGGGTATTTCTGATAACATTATATACAGATATCCCAATTTGTACGGATCCAATTGAAACAGTTTATAGATTTCATAATTGTAAGCAAAAAAGTTCATATTAACACGTAACACGCAAACATTGATCAAAATTTGATCAAAAGTTAAGTAAAAGTTAGATAACTAATTAAAAAACCAAGAAAATATCAAATTTCACAAGCTGCGTGCAGCTAAAAATGTATCATTCCTCTCAATTTTGAACCACGCAGTAACTTTGCTACTAATGGAAATCGGACCATTGTTGATATGAACCTCTGTGCTTAAAATTATCTTCGTTTTATATAACTTGGAATACCTTGTATAATGTATTAAATATTGAAAAAAATTATTGTGTCTTGAGTAAAATTAGAATGGAAGAATATCTAACACTAAAAGAGCCCTCCCTCAACTTTAATAATTATATTTCTTTAATTAAAAAGCATGACTATTCATATTTTTTTATTAGAAAAACTTACAATCTTGTGAAATAATCGTATTATATTTTCTCCTCGTCTTCCGATGCTTAGCTGACCTCTTCAGATTCTACCGATTTTTAGTCGACCTTTTATTTAGTTATCTTCAGCAGCAGAACATCTGCTGCAGACAAATCCTATAATCTCTTAGGAGCAATTCGTTAACTCGCTACATTGAGCTGAAAATCGGTTGAAACACCTAGTATTTGAATTTACTACACAAAGATCTCCGGCTCATTTTCGGCGGCTGAACTTCTGCCTAATGTGGCGCTAGAAGAATTCATATTAGATACGCATATTTTAGACCATAAATTTTTTATCATTGTCAAAACTTTGACGTTTAATTACTCAATAACTTTTTTTTGGGGTTTGTTTAGTTGTGATTTCTTACCTGAAACATGGTGTTTAAGAACTTCAAACGCGGGCAAATGCTACATGCGAATGCGAAAATTGTGATTTTTAATATGATTTGTTATTTAGTCAATGAAGATAAATTGAGTGTGACTGCAGCAGTAAGTAGTGCTTCCAAAATGGGTGGGGTCAATGAAAAACCAATTTATACCATCAAGAAGGAGGAGGAACAAACAAAACAATGGCGAATTGAAATCTTCTGCAAGAAGAAAAAAGTGGATAAGGGTTTTAAGAGCTGACTAAGAAGAATTGTGCACAATGATTTGTTTTAAAAAACTATTCCGCCAACTTTGAATGCAATTTACGTTATTATTCGAGGGAATTAGAATTCATAATCGTTCTTTTTAAGAATTCTATGTAGATTGATTAAACATAGTGGTTATGAATATGCGAAGCGTGGTCGTAAAAGTATAATGTTATTGACTGCACAGGTATTTAAGAGCCATCAAATGATATAGCCAACAAAATTGTAACCTTATTTATTTAGATGATACTTGGGACAACGTGGTTCAAACGGTTAACTATACATGGTGTAATAACACCATAAAAAATCGTAGAAATTCTTTTATAAAGGGTTTAACCACAGGCCTATAAGCTCCTACATAAAGAGATCCACGTTTCGTTATTGTTCATGCAGGATACGAAGGTGGATTTTTACCTTGCTGCGTGCGTGTTTTCTTGGCAAAGAAAAACGAAGGCGATTATCATGACGAAATGAACGACGACTATTTTGAGCAATGGTTTAAGGAGTCGCTGATTCTTAACTTGCCCAAAAATGGACGAAATAACGTTGTTGTTATGGAAAACGCTTCGTATTATTCCCGTAAATGGAATGGAAAAAACCCGAAATAAAAAATTAACCGAAAAAAAAAAATTTCTTTCACGTCTTTTTTTTTTAAATCTGAGCTATTTGAAGTTGCCAACGCATACAGAGGGCAATCGTATCATTGCGATCAAGATGATATGAAATCAGGTAAAGCACTATATTTTTATGAACAACTTTGATTTCAAGACACAGGATGTTCATTCACTGATAGATAAAGCATTTGAACATGCCACTGAACAAAATTGGCGTAATTCCGTTGCACATGTCAGAGAAAAAACGAAAAAAGAAATGTGGATTGCTGATAATATCCAAGACAATGAACTCTTTATAAGAGTAAATTTGTAATTTTGAAATTAATTGTTTATTATTTAAATAATAAAATTTAAACCCGTGTCGAAATTGCCTGAAACCGGATCTGTTTTTCTTTTGGCCGATCCCAGCATATATGTGTCTCACACCATAGAGCTATATTATTACGTCATATAACCTCAATACCGTGTCTTTTTTCATTGTACAAAAACTCGCAACTTTGTCCCTCATAACGAACAAAAATATTTCCAATATTAAAACCTAGCTTTGTATTTGTCGCTTATAAGCGGGTAGGGTTATGTTCAGCCTAGAATAATGCAGTCTCTCGGGTTTATTGTATTCCCTGATTTCCCCGTATTCAGGTACTTTCATAAAAAACCTAAATTCCATATGTTCTGCAAACGATACAATTAATTTTTTAAAATAAACATATTTTTACAAAATGTTAAAATTTTTAAATAATAAAATCATATTGACGGCAGGACGGCGTCTGTCCCCTCCCCCTCTCGCCCTGGATTTAAAATTTTTGATTTTTTGTCATGGCTTTCGACTATAGCCTGCGGCGTTTTGACCCTGCGTATAAGACTTGCCCCCCTGGAAAATTTTTAAACGGAGCCAATGCTTAAGTCTTTTGCCACCCTGGATATTTGTAATAAAAATTAAGAACCTAAAAATAATATTTATTATTTTACATACTAATAAATATTTGTATAATTTCTTTTAAACATAACGGTTTAAAATATCACATTTTTTGTTTATCGTCTTGTATATTCTTCCTAAAACACGACCTCCAGTACCATGCAGATTTCCTGCTGATTTTTTAATTCTTCACGTGTCTTTATCTCTAAATAACAATGTAACCAACTTTTTATGTTTCCTTCTAACATATTCAATTTCCCCATGAGACTCAGTTCCGCTTTTATAAGAAAAGAAACCCAATTCAGGAAACATCATAGGAAACTTTTCAATATCGATGTCAGTCCAAGTTTTGAATGGCAATCCTATCTCTCTCAATTTATTCTGATTTTTGAACATCCACAAAGGCAGAGGTTCCAAATTGTTACCGTAAACAGTCAAAGATCTTAAATGACTCAGCGGTTCAAAAGCTTTTTGGTGTATGGATTTGAGAGTGTTATCTTCGATATATAATTCTCTAAGATTAACCAAGTCTACAAATGAATCTTCCTGTATGGTATCTATAGAATTATTGATTAACGACAATTGCTTTAATTTGCACAGTCCTATAAAGGTGTTTCTAGTAATATGTTTTATGTTTTGGTCCTTTATATATAGCGACTTTAATCTTTTAAGCCCAGTAAAACCTTCATGTTCGAGTTCCAGCCCTTTACTGGATTTTACAATTAGTTTTTCTAAAGCAATGCAGCAGTTTGCAAAATTAGACCCTTGTGGTACTTCAGTTCTTGCAAATAAAAAATTCTTCAGGCTGTCAGACTTAAATTCAAACCTATCTAACTTGCTGACGTCTATAAAAAAGTTCTTTAACTCTGTAAAATTTTTGAGAAGAGTAGAGTCGACCTGTCCTTGCGAAAAATAAAATCCAAAACCACGCAAATGGGTTGTATTGACGGTTTGTAAATCTGGGTTATCTCTGGAGAGAGTAATGTTGTTGCACGCCCATTTGCTGAAGTCAATTGTTGAATCCGTTTGTGGAAAACATTTAGGGGTAACTGTGTTATTGGTTATTGACATAAATGTCCAGACAAAGAATATCAAGTGGTAACTAAAATCATAGAACAATATTAAAAATTGTAAAGGGTGATTCATTACAAAGATTATTTAAAAATATAAACAAAACTTTTATAAACATTTTCTTTATGTTCGTAAGGTAAACTCAAAATTGATGTCAAATCTTTATTTACAAATTATATTTGCACAACCAAAACTATCTTTGTCCATTGTTTATCACCTTTTTAACAAACTTCACATTTACGTTTCGCATAAATCATTGATACGTTACTCTAGTAATGAATTAAATTTTTTAAATCCAATCGGAATTGAATTAAAACACTGTATCATACCACGGTTCTTAGACAATACGGTGGTCTCGTCCGGTTTCTAGAGACGAGGGTGTGACAGAATGAAAAATCGAGGCGTCAGAAAATATTCTGCAGCGGTTTGTACATTAGTTTTGTAAAAATCTTATATTTTATCAATATTTATCAATGTTTGAATGATAAGCTTTAAAACAGCTAGGAAAAATCATGTAATAATTGCCATAAAATTTCAAATAATTAACTTTTTATTTGAATAATCAAGAGAAATATTATTGTAAAATTTGTTTAATTTAAAAATTTTTGGTTAGAGTACTGCATCCGAGCCGAAGTTGGACCACATTTTGTTTATACCCTGAAATAATTTGAAATTCTAGCATGACACAGTTTTTACAAACAAAAATCTTCAGGGGAATGGGACTGAACCTAAACTGAAACTATAATGATATACATATAATGATGCTTGGTATTTTATATTATACTGTTCAAAGTTTAAGAGACCCACCCAACCTTTTTAATTAATTTATTCAAACAGACATCTCGCGGTTTAACCTAACCTAAAATATTTTTAAAAAAATACTATTAGGCATTCCAACGACCTGTCAAACAATAGGTGCCAGTGGGAAATTATGTATATTTAAGGGGGTAGCGACATAGTCTTGCAACTTGGACACTATTTTTATTCGAAGTAGTACTCGCCAAGCCTGCCAATTTATGAAAAAATGTAAAGGTGGGTTTTTTAAATATTATTTTTATTGTGTTTGACATAAAATATTTAAATGTATTCCATTATTCATGATTTTACGTAAAGTAGATAGAATACACCATATGTCGCCACCCTTAGATATACCAAACCTGCCCACTGGTAATTCATTTGTTTGGAATGCCTAATTGTATTACATATGACTTTTTTAACTCGTTTTGTTAAACTTTATGTAGCGCTTCCTTTATGGAAATAGTCAAGGTGTGCCTGATGATGAAGTGACAGCTTCGAAACCGGTCGCCAATTAAATTGACTTGTGAGAAATAAAGGACCTTTTCTTTAACCCCTTACACTTTATAAAATATTAGTTTAAAAAAAAAACTAATGTACGAACTCAAGTAGAATATTTTTAACTCACTTTTTCATTCCGTGACGTCACTCCGTCCTTAGCAACCGAGATGAGGCCACCGTTTCAGTCTAGGATCCGTAACACCATACAGTGACATACAGTGTTTTCAGCTAGTTTGTTTTGATTGGCGTGTGTTGGAAAAAAAATTGTCATTGGCTGATGTATTTATTATAGTGTTAAATAATCGTATAAATAAAAAAATGTTTTGAATATAAGTTGTATGGCTATGATTAAACTTTGTTAAAATATCATCAAAAACGTAGTGACGTGTAAATTGCATGGAATAAAACAAAAAAATATAATTTTTTAAATGGAATACCGTGTATAATATAAACTTTTTGGAATTATCTTTTTTCTTGATTTCAGAAATATATATGTTGCCCCTATTTAATACCTTTTCAAATATATTAGTTAAGCCGTAGTTATACTTAAAATAAGGTTAGGTTAAGATTATTAAAGTTATCAAAATGAGACGAATTATCATAGAAAAGTAAAGTGAAAAAAATCGGTTGAATTCCGAAAACTGAAATGCAAGATAAAATACAGTATTACAAGGGTGGCTTTAAGAAACATTGAGAGAGCTAGGAGGGAAAGAGAAAGTGTTTGTGTGTGCCGGCGAGAGTCAAATTGTTAAGAGACGCCAACGGCTCTAGTCGGAAGGTTCGATCCATGGTTGATGCACTTTGAGGATGTGAAGGTGTATTCATAATTTATTAGGGGGAATTGGTGATTATATATTTTCAAAAAGTAATGTGTTTGTCATTTCTTTAATGTACTTAATAATTAAAATGGTTTACAGTGAGGAAAAAGTTCATATAACTTATCTAAATACACTCGGTATTTGGTTTTTTAAAAAGATTTATTTTATTTAAAGTACAACTTATCGTATCAAACACAGATTCTAAACTGAATTAACTGAAAGGAAATATAATATAACAGGTGGCATTACACCTAAGGTGGAATGACACAAAACTAATCTAATGCAAATTCAGCAGTTCCAAGGTTCATCCACGAGGTTGCCGACTCAGGGTTATTGACTCTATAACTCTCCCCTTGTTAAAATGAGGCTTCTTGCGGAAGTCGAATATGGCCTTCTTCAGGGGTTGGTTCCGGTGGGGATTTTTCCTTCTTCTTCTTAGGCATCTTCTTGTGGATGATAAAAATAATTGTTACTGCTACTCCAAAATAAAGAATAATTGTCCATGCACTAGGAATATGATACTTAAAATTTTCGTTTATTATAGGTATTGGTCCATTTGAACTGATTTCTTTTAGTTTTAAACTTTTTAAATTTAATTTCATTGGCAACAGATTTATTTTTTCAAAATACAATTTTGGTTTATTTATTATAATTGGTTGTCCAAATGATTTTTCTTGAAAGGTTAATTCGTGATTTTTAAATATTATTTTACATGGTGAATTATCAATTAAAAATATTCCAGATAAGATTTTAATTTCGGTTCCTTGCAAGCATTGTATTGATAATTTTTCTTCTTGAGGAAATATTGCCAAAAATTGATTTGTTTCTGGTATAATTTCTATGTGATTTTTAGAAATATCTACCTTAACATATTGACATTGGCTAGAATTTCCTTTTAGTAAAATTTCTTTCTCGCATAATTGTTCATTATTATTTTGTAAACGGCTAGGACATTGGAATTTTTTACCGCGTGTGCAAATATCGTTTAGAGGCTTTATTTGATTTCCGGATTTTAATATATATTTTGTGTTTGGCATTATTATAACAAATTCTGATTCAAATTTGGTGGGAATTGGCAGTAAATAATATAGTTCGAATTCTGTTTCAAAATCAATAGGAATTGATAGAAAATATTGTATTTGATTTTTTTCTAATTTACAGTTAACCTCTAAGATTGATTCAAAATTTAAAATATTTTCATATTTTACTTCTAATGGTAGCTGAAATTGATAATGAGAAGAAATCTTTTTTAATTCTAAAAATAGCTCATGTGATTTTATGATACTAGGGTGAATGGTTTTCAGTTTACAAAATGTTATGGAATTTTCTACGTTTTCCATAATGTCCAGGATTAAATTATAAATTATCAATAATTCGTTAAATAAGTCTTTTAAGTAAATTACATTTTCAAATTTTGCTTGAAAGTCTACAATGTCTTTAATTTCTAGTATTTTAGATTTGAGATTAATTTCATTTTTTTTGGATATCTTGAATTGTTTGATTAAAATTATTTATTATCTGGCTACTGACAGAATATTGCATTTTTAATTGATTCTGTAAATTAGCTTGATTTTCTTTTAAATGTTCTAAAATTGAATTTATTCTTTCTCCATCTTGGGAGTCTAAATTTCCGGTAATGGCTTTAAGAACTGATCCAAACCCATTTATTAAACCTCTTTTATTTTTTTCTAAAAGTGAGTGAATATTAAGATTGTTAAATTTTTCTTCTATATTAGTTTTAAGATAAACTATAATATTAACGAAATTCTCAGTTTCTATACTGAAGAATGTATTATTTGAAATATTATTTTTAAGATAGTTAAACTGTATGTTTAAATTATTGTATTCCTGCAATAGCGGGTTTAAATCGTAAAAATGCACGAATGTGTGCCTAGATTTTTGAAGTTTGGCAGGACCTAGATTAATTGGTAGGATACCTAAATTGTGGGTGATGTCTTTTATGTCTACTGATGCGTATCCGATTGTGACGCACCTGAAATAAAAGTATAAGGTTTTCTTTTAGGACGTTTAATATTTGATAAATGAATATCTTCGGCAGTATTTTTATGTCTAGTGATAATTTTAGCAGTATTTCTTTCTAGATTTGTATCTTTAATTTCTTCAGCTTGATATTTATTTTTTGTTTTACTTTGTTTTTGTCTGTTACGAACAAATACTTTAGAAGGAATTTCATCCGTTAACTTTTCTCGCTTTTCATTAGCTTTGGTAATAACTTTTTCTTTGGTTTCTTGTATATTTTTATTTAATTGTGAATATAATATTTTCATTTTTTCTTTGTGATCAGAAATATAATTATTTATTAATTGTTGCTCTATATCTAAATCGAAAACGGAATTATTTTCTAAATGACCTGTAGTAATTTCATAAGGTTTTAATTTTGTTACAGAGTGAATGCTATTATTATACGCTAAAAGTGCGTAATTAACTTTTTGTTCTATAGGTTCAGTTTTATATTCGTTTTGGTTATTTAGTAATCTAATATGTTCAATAATAGAAGAATGGAATCTTTCAGCGATGCCGTTGGATTCTGGATGCTGTGAGCTAATGAAATGAATCTTTACTTTGTGAAGATTTAGTAGATCTTTTACAAGTGAATTTTTTAATTCTGTACCGTTATCAGAAATTATTTGTTCTGGTATACAGTGATGAGTAAAATATTTAATTAGGCTATTGACTACTTCGATTCCTTGTGCGGAATTAATTTTATATAATTGACCATACTTTGAAAATGAGTCTATTATAGTTAAAAATTTATTATTTTCTAATGTTATTGTATCTAAATGTAGTATTTGGAAAGGTTTAATCGCTGTAGGAGTAATATTATAAATAGGTTTAATAGGTTTTCTATCGTATTTTGTTAATTGACATATTTCACAGCTGTTAATGTAGGTTTGAA